ATTTGAATATGCTTGCTTTTTTCTTGCTTGTATATCTTAAACGATCAGTCGTACTTGTCTTCAAGTCTGCTTGGACAATTTATAGCCAATGAAAGCTATTTGCCCGTTGATCAACTTTCGATCTCGATCGTCCATCTTCGTATGTAGTTGATCAAAAATAAAGTTGTCAACTTGATCTGAAATGTTAGGCAGTAGTCTTTCGTATTAGGCATTAATTTAATCGTACAATGCGCGTATATATTATAACTAGTATGTAAAGAAATATGAATTTCCCTATCTCTAACTTCTGTAGTAACCTGTCCATGACAAATTATATTTTGGACCATGGTCTGCCTTATAAGGTATATTTTTAATATACTGAAGGAACATTATTTGTATACTAAAAGTTCGAGTTAATAACTAAAATGGTCTATCGACTATGCTGTAATTTTCAATTTAGTCCTCAACATCATTCTTACCTAGTTAAGTCTTCAATTGTGTAATCTTTGTCCAATTTAGTCATCTGTTAACTTTTCTGTTTGTTGATGGTTAAAACTAGGGGTAAAATTTTAATTTCATAAGCTTCATGAGGAGAGACAAGCACAGCCAGGTTCTCTGCAAGACAACGCTTATGTTTTCCATTTCACACTGAAATTTGGAGCATTTGACTCTGGATTTTGGTGTTTTCTTGATTGTCTCAACAACCTTTCCCTCTCCTGTGTTCTTCCCCACCGCTGTAACCGCCATCAAACCCTCACCTTCCTCCGCCTCCTCGGCCGGCTTTTCGCCTGTAAACACGGCGGTATTAACATCGCCACCTCTTCTGATGAAAATCCCATCGGCGGGGGCTTCGTCCCCGGGCTCCAAGCAAACAACCTCGTGGGCCATTACCTTGGACGCCAAGATTTGAAGCTTTTAGCCATGTCGAATCACCTTAACCAGTCCCACGTTTCTCCGCTTCGACCATCTCTTCTTATTCATGCACTTAGCCTTTACAACCTTAAAAACCGCTCGGAAATGGAGGGAGAGAAATATGGCCAGGAAAAAGATAGCTCCGTCGAGAAATTCTTGTCGAGCCCCACTTCTCCGAACCCCAATGGCAATAGAAAGTGCCGATGCAACAAAGAAGGAGAGAAAACGTCGAGTTTCTCATTGCTTCCCTGACAAGTTACGTTCATGGAAGGTGAAGGCACTAGGCGGTTGATGTTCGAAGACGACAACGTTGGTCCCAAACGCTGTTCGTCAGAGGCGGATATCCGCCTCGTCTCCGGCTATGCCGGATGCAATACTGGTTTGTAAGCCATCGAAGGAGTCCACTGTTTCGCTCTTCCAGGATCTGTTCTAGCTGTTTCGATGTAAGTGCGAAGGTGGAAAGAGGAAGCTGGTCATTATCTAAATTGTTCATCTTTGAAGAAGACAGGAATTGAAGTGTACTTAAAGCATATATACTCCAAATTGAACAAAAAAGAAATTCAAATTGAATCTTCCCTGGGATTTCTGTAAATCAGTTCAATAAGGATGCATGCATGCACATGACAATTTATACTGAAAGATGATCCAGGAGTTTGGTATCGCAATTACAATAAATAATAATAAAGAAAAAAACAAAAACTATATATATGTTTTAAGTGGAGATTACGGTGATTCAGGAGAAAGAAAACAAAAAAGTTTAATTGGAGAAATAGTATTTATGATTTGGTGGTTCATTCTTTGACTGCTGAAGGGGCATGCAGGTGGAGGGTGGAAGAAAAGCGTGCGGAAGGACGGAGAAATTTATAGGAAAATACATAGACATTTACTCAATTAGCAACTTTTGCTTGGAAGCTTATGAAATTACATCTTTGCCCTTAATTTTAACCATCAACCAACAGAAAAGTTAACAGAGGTTTAAATTGGGCAAAAATTACATAATTGAGGACTTAATTGGGTAAGAATGATAGTCGAGGATTAAATTGGTAATTACAGCATAGTCGAGAGACCCTTTTGGTTATTAACTCCTAAAAGTTCATTAATACCAAATAATGAACATTTAGTACTCAAATCATTTATTTTTAAATGATGAACATTCAGTACAAAAATAATGTATCTTCGATGTATTAAAAATGTACCATATTTGAGTAGTCCATCTTACAAGGTGGACCATGCTCTATGGTATAGCCTACATTTGCCATCACGATACACGTACAACACCTTACTTGCGGTATCACATGCATGAAGCCAAGTCGATCTACATAGACTTCTCCTTTCTAAACCTGAGAAAGAGATACACAGCAACATCACCCGCCACGCCAACAGGGACGGAGCCAAAGGGGGGGCAGGGGGGCAGCTGCCCCCCCTCATCCCACCCCCACCCCCACCCCATATATAATTTTTGTATGTATATGTGTATATATAGTATAAGTTTTATAAAGGTCAATGGTTCAAATCTTAATATCAACATATTTTTATAGTGTTTTTAATTCAACTTAATTATGTTTCATAGTTCTAATCCTTTAGCATCAACATAGTGTTTTAATTCAACTTAATTATGTTTCATAGTTCGAATCCTTTAGCATGAACATATTTTTATAGTGTTTTTAATTCAAATTAATTATGTTTCATATTTTGTTATGAATATTTTTATAAAGTTCCGATATATTTTATTTTTCGTCCATATCCAACAATATTTACAACTATATTTCTTAGGTAATTTATTTTTTTAAAAAAAAATTATCTCTTTTGTTTTAATGTTTCGCCTTTGGAAAAATTTTCTGAATTTGTCCCTACTTCTTCGCCCCTCCCAACCTAATTTCTAGCTCCGTCCCTATTGAGGAAACCTTCTACTAGGCGTCTAGTTGGTCAACTCCAACTTCAAAACCAACACTCTCATCCTCAGGCTCTACATTGCAAGAAATCCATCCACCAAGACATCTTAGCTTGAGCATAAAAGATTCTTTTCATTTTCCTCCCTTTGTAAGAAATGCCATCTCCATCCGCAAAAATTCAACTGGCGCAAACCCCAACCCCTGCTGCGCTGCCGCTCTATCTGCAGTAGTGATATCATGGTTGAGATAGATTTGGAGTCTGTTACATAGGTTTGTTGTACAATCTACCTTGAAAACAAAACCAGAGAAGTGATTGATAAATTGATTGAATATCATATTGCATTTGCTATACTTGAGTACTTGTCTAACACATCGTCTTCTCTTACCAGCAGGCTACGAACTCATAGTCTCTTACCTCGGCAAAGACACATAGGAGCTACGCAATGCTTAGACCATTAGCAATTTGTAGAAGTGAGCAATTACTATTCCAACGTATGCAACCAACAGTAGAGCGGCGATAGGGTGCGGGCAATAGCCTGCATGCTAGCAAACTCGGTTGCGCAATTTGATGAAGAAAACAATGTAACGTGCAATTCCTGTACACATCGTGTGTGTATGTGAAGGGGCAGAGCTAGGATTGAATAGTGCGGGGGGCCAACTACGGTTGAAATACTAAATCAAATACATTGATATCCAGTTAACATATTTCAAAATAATCATTACATTACAAATTTAATAAAGTTTAGAATAAATAATTTATAATTGAATCTATATTAAACTATTTTGTAATATGTTTTTCAATGCACATTGCTTTGTACAGTTGAGAAATGAAACCATTCACGCATAACGTTTTAAAAAGACTATTGATTATTTCATGAAAACTACCATCTTCACAACATAACATAATAGCAATTGTTTCCTTAAATACATATACTACACAATTTTTACATTATTATGCATGTTAAATTAAATACAACATTTATCACGTAACCACAAATCTGCATAATTAAGCAAACAAATGCACCTTCATATCCATTATTTAGAATAAAACAAAATCACTATTTAAAATAAACAATAGAATATGAAACAAAAATTAACCAAACATGTAGTTAGAAACAAAAACAAAAAAAAAAAAAAAAAACAAAAAAAAAAACAAAAACAGAAACAAAAACAGAAACAGAAATTAACTTGAAAAATATGCATAGATTTTAATGACAAATTATCTTGTTATAGCGTATATACCGCATATATGTATGATTCTAGAGAGAGAAACTAGTAGGTAGGTTAAATGAGGTTTATTAATTTGAATGTGAGTCACAATATATATAGTGACTACATAGTTTGAAATGGGAGACAACGGGAGATGTTGAGAAGATGAGAAGTTTATAACTTAGCTTGTAGGATTAATTTAAGTGGGAAGGGGGCCAAATATTTGAAAGGAACAACAAAATTTTAGTATTCTATATAATATTTTTTAAAAAAATTTTAATATTATATTTAATATTTAAAAAAAATTGGGGGGGGGGGGGGGGGGGGGATGGGGGGGGGGTCAAGGCCCCCCTTGGCATACCTTTGCCTCCGCCCCTGTGTATGTGTGTTCGGGATATCATACCAGGATGTACGGGAAAGTGGCATGTGGTGGGGCACTAACTACTCCTCTAATTGTACATAGTGGTGGATCAGCATGGCCATTATACCTTGCCAACACTAGATTCTATATATGAACAATATTTTCAATCTCTATCTAAATCCTTTGTAGATGGAGATATTTGAAGGATTCAAATACCTTGCACATAGTTTATTTCATTTGTATGGATTTTGGGTTTTCGTCACCATTGTATATTTTAATCTTTCATCTAGTGAAATCAATGATGTTCGAATGATATTTGATTCACTTTAGGCATCAGTCGCCTTATATATTTATAAAAAAAGTCGCCTTATATATTTATAAAAAATTCAAATATTTGGTTCTCCCTAAATTTCCTTTCAACATACATAATCCAATTGAATCTAACAATAATATAAATAATCCCTCAAAAATATATCTTAACTAATAATCCTTTCTATCCATCAATAATATAAATATCCATATTGCAACACAATTTTTGAAATAGCATCTCCATCCGCAGAAATTCAACTTGTGCAAATCCTAATCCCACGTCGCATTCCCGCTCTATCTGCAGTAGTGAGTTCATTGTTGTGCCAGATTTGGAGTCTGGTTCATAGGTTCGTTATAGAATCTGCATTGAAAATGATAAAAAAGAAGTGATTCATAAATTGATTAAATATCATATTACATTTACAATAAATACTTGAGTACTTGTCTTACACTTCGTTTTCATTTAACCTAAATCTTTTCTAACTTGCAGGCGATGAACACATAGCCACATACCTTTGCAAAGAGACACAAGAGTTCATCTACATGGACTGCTTAGGTCATTGGGGATCTGTAAAAGTGAGCAATTTCTATTCATGTGTATGGGACCCGCAGTAGAGCGGCGGTAGGGTGTGTGCAATAGCCCGCATACTAGCATATACGTTTGCACACTTCGATGGGTCAAGCAACGTAAGTGCAATTCGTGTGCACGTCATGTGCAATTTGCTTTAATTTGCAATATATCTAACTGTTTAGTCTGATGATGATGTAAATGAAACAGGAGCACTGATCTTCGTTCTTGTCTTGGGATGTTATTGTTTCTTAAAAAGTTGCATCTCCCTTGCTAATTTGTACCAACATATAGCTAGCTGACAAAACTGTTGCCTGGCCATGTTGTTGTGGAATTGCCTTCCATTCCTGCTACAATTGTCATCATTGTTACTATATATGTCTTTGTTTTCTGTGGTATTGCATATGGTTTGTTTCTAGCTACCACAGTTGTACATAAGAGTTCGCATAGGCACTACCAAATCCTCACGAAGCGGAATCTTACCCAGGTTTAATCCTTCAACTTTAATATGAGTATAAATTTTTTCGTGAGACGTATCATAATCCATTTAAATAATATGTTATTTTATTTCAATTCTCTCTTAAATGTTACAGGTATACGTAATGGTGGATCAACATGGCCAGTATACCCCACCGACACTAGATTAGAGGCATGAACAACACCTTCGATCTCTTAATCTATTGTAGGGGGTGATTTTTTTTTTTATTATCAAAAACAGGTTTTATTGGCGACGAATAGCCCGACGCGTGGCAAAACCTCTTACATCAAACAATAAGGCCAGTTTAGCCATAGTAGGCAGCAAATGTGAAGTATGAAATTTTTTTGAAGTGCTATAGCCGAGGCCAGCTGTTGCAAGAGCGTCTGCAACCTGATTGGCTTCCCTATAAATATGCCGAATACTGGAACCCCACAAGCTAAGAGTGGACCAAATGTAAGAAACTGCTGGCTCAATTCTCCAAGGAATCTTTGTATCCTGTGAAGAGATCAAGTTGGCGAGGGAGAGAGAGTCGACTTCCACAGCAAAAGGAGCCATGGCGGAGGCAGCACACCATTAGACAGCTAGCTGAAGAGATAGAGTTTCAGCTTCCATGGATGACGAGGCCTCAAAGCGGAAGCACAGGCCCACTATCAGTTGGCCACGAGACCCTCGAATGCATGCTCCGCCCGCTGCTCCAGCATCCGAAAAAATAGCATCCGTGTTTAATTTCAATCTTCATTCGGGTGGGTGAAACCATTTTACCCAAATTGTCGTATGCTGCAGCGGGGCAGCAAAGCCCGTAAAGAGACCAGTCGTTACAAGGAAAGCATCATTGTGGCCGCAACTTTTGATCGGGTGAGACAGTGAGATTAAAAAGGCCTCCCTCTTGATCATGTGAATAGAGCTGGTTGGTGAAAAAGCAGAATCCTCATGAAGACAGTCATTGTAGGCTTTCCATAGGAACCATAAGATAAGGTAGGGAAGCAGCTGCGCATAAAACTTCGTACCAGATCCGGCGGGAGCCAATAACCACCATGTATGACATTGCGAACGTATCGAGTTGCCAACGGCCCTTGGCAAGGCAAAAATATCACCGATATTTCCAGATTTCTTGTATGCTAGCACAACTGAGGAGGCAGTGATCTAGACTGGCAGAGTCCCTTCGGTAGAATGGGCATACCGAGGGTAGAGAGAATCCAAAACGTTGAAGAATATCCGGAAATGGCAGCAAACGGCGTAGCAATCTCCACATGAAAATAGACACTTTTGAAGGCAGCCCCCCGCCCCAAATACAGGAGGCGGAAAGACAGCGTCCACCTGTCGGTCGAAGAGCGTTGTACGCTGATGAAAAGGTAAAATTGCCATAAGTCGAAAGAGACCATACCGGGGATCCTGAGGAGCCGCTCACAGTGTGCTCAGTGACGAACTCCTTTGAATACTGCATGCGACGCCACGTGAGAGAGGGGGGTTGCACGCTCACGGCCTTCCGGATAACTTGTGAGTATAAACTCACTCCAGAACGTGCCTCCCTGCAGATAAGGGAAGTAGAGCTTAGCCGAGAAAGCATACTGAATAGGGTAAGCAATCTGATGCCCAAACCACCTTCCTCCACGGGAAGGCCAAGCTTGGACCAGGCCGCCCAATGCCTCTTCGGACGTCCTTCCACTGAACCCCAAAAAAATCTGGCAAATTTAGCTTCAATAGCTTTCTCCGTTTGGCGAGGAAGCATCACCGAGGCTGCTGTGTACAGAGGGATCATAGTCAGAACATGCTTGATAAGAGTAAGACGGCCACCCGGGGAAAGCAGTTTTCGATGCCATGATATTAGCTTGCAATCAATCTTCTCTAATAGATGTTGATAAAACATTGGGCGATTCCGGCCTTTGAATAAATTTACTCCCAAATAACGGAAGGGCAGCGAAGACCGCTGCATACCGAAGATGCGGGCTATGGCATTTGCACGGTGACTCAGGCACGATCTCGTTGTGACAAAAAAAAACTCTTATATGGAAATTAATTTTCTGACCAGAGTCGGCTTGATACTTCTTAAGAGCCTCTGCAAGCGCCTTTAAGGAGCCCGAAGCCCCATTTGCAAAGATGACAATGTCGTTAGCAAAGGCCAAATGAGTAACCACGGGGCAGCCGAGGGCCGTAGAATTTGGTTGGATCATTTTGTCATGGGAATAACATGCCTAGGAATGAGCTATTACCTTCGCAATGGGCAATAGCCATTCCTAGGGGGCCTTGATATTAGTTATTCCCATGCCATTGGAATAGCTTTTATATCACAAATACCAAAAATACCCTTTGCAGATTATATAATATTTATATTTATTTAATAAATATAATGTATTATATAAATGTATATATTTAATTAATTATAATTTTTATCCATCAATCTATCAATATATATATATATATATATATATATATATATATATATATATATATATATAT